AATATTCCCACCAGCCATAACTTAGCTGTTTATGAACAGGCATAAGCCATTTATGAACCACTTCTACTGTGGTTTCACCCACGTGGTGTTTTTATCGTTTTAAAAGTTTTTTATACAATAGGCTAGTGTTAACTTAAATGGACGCTTAATGTAATGACAGGATTATTAATTAATCAATAAAGTCTTGTATTTTATACTTGTTTGCAGTAAAAAAAAAAAAAAAAAAAATCAAGTAAGATACAACTTCTATATATTGTAATAGAATATATAATTTAATTTTGTTTTACTTATTCTTTATTGAATTATTTTATAGTTTATTAAATTCAATATTTTTGAAATTATTTTATATTTTTTAAAATTCTTTAAAATATTTTAAATCTTTTGTCTTTTGTTTTTTTATTATTGCAATTTATAATTGTTCTTTAAAATATATTATATAATTAATTTATTATTGTTATTATTTTTGTTATATTAATAAATTAATTTAAATTAATTAAAATATATATATTTATTTAAATAATATAATAAAATTTGATTAAACAGTTGTCAAATATTAATTAGTTAAAAAAATAAGCTTATTTTAATTTTTTTATTATATTATTTTAAATAGTTAATAAATATTCTTAAAATAAAATTATTTGTAAAGATTATATTAAAACAAATATTAGATTCAATAATTTTAATTAAATATATTTTTTGAAAAATATTTATAAATTTAATAAATATAAAAATAGACAATATACTATAAATAGTATTTATAATATTATAAACAAAAAATAAAAAAATAAAATATATTGTCATGAATTTTTTCTATACAATTAAAGAATATATAAGATTTTTAAATTTAACTAAGTTTTAATTGGGAATTTTATTTATTGTATTAGTTGTTTTTAAAATTTTAAAATTTTAAAATTAAAACTTATTTGCAATAAAAAATATAAAGTATTTTTTCTTAATTAAAATTATGATAAATAGAAAATTTTTAAAAAATGAATATAATTAGAAAAAAGTTTTTAAAAACAATTAAAATATATTTTTAATTTTTATAATTAATAATTTTTTATAAAAATTTTTATCAACTTAAATAAATTTTTTAAAAAAACGGCTTATTAATCAATTATTTATATATACTGTATATTTTTATAGTTAAAATAATAGTTTATTTTAAAAAATTATCTAAATAAAAAGTATCTTACTTTCAAATTTAATTTAATAATAATATTATTATATAATAAAAAATTTTTTAAAAAAACTTAATCTTTAGAGCTTAAATAAGATACTGTATATACTGCATATATTTTTTTATTTTGTTAAATATTTAATAAATTATAACATAAAATATAAGTTTATAAAAGTTCAAAGACTCATGCACCAAACTGAAAATAAAGTTGTATTCATTTTTTTAATGCAATCTAATCTTGTTTGCATACGTGATTCGTATTTTTTTATTGTTAAATTTTTTTAAAGATTTACAATATAACGTCCTAAAAATTAATTTTGTTATCTGTAAATTTCAAAGATTCCATCTAATATAAAATTACCAAGTTTGGTTCAATAAAATAATGGCGGGTAATGTCGACGATACAAGAATCATCTTTGCAAGATGAATGATATTCCTTGTTCATGAGCAAAAAAAACCAGAATTTTAAACCTCTTTTGAATAACAAACTTCTCTGAGCCCCAATCTTCCAAACAAATAATTCCTGGATTTCATCAAGAATAAAACCTGATATATTTGCATTGACGGCTTTAGTTTAGGCAGTCCGATGGTAAATTAGAAATATTTAGGGGCGTAACAGCGCCTATTACATATCAAATTTTTATTTGACAGCTGGCTCTATTTTAAAATATTTTCAACCAAACTCATCACTTGCGAGTACTAATTTTCATACGTAAAATTTGCTACAACATTCACGCAATCATGATTGGCTCCGATAAATTTTAGCAATTGTTTCAAAAACAATATTGCCTTGTTTTACCTCTTTGTGAGACCGCCATATACAATGGATTACAAACACCGTAGACATCTTCAAAGCCCATGAGTACTCATACTCTAAACCTGTGGAGATTGGTCTAAACGGTTTCAGTGAAACGCGATCTTCGTGGTCCTTATTGGTATGAAAATTCGCTATTCTAATTATAAAAGTCCAACTTTCTGTATATGGAAACATGTTCATGTGGATGATATAGTGTATAGTCAATCGTGAACTACTTATGGTAATAAATGGATATTATTTGCAAAGTCGTGAGAAATATAAGAAATGAGCAGCTCGTTTTTTTCGCGCTTAGGGCTTTTTTGGTAAAAGCCCCTCCCCCCGAGTTTTTTCTGAAAACTCGTTTAAAACTCGAAGTTCCATGACTAACACCTTTATCGTTAAAACAAACCTCAAAGGCTTTTTTGGGGGTGCATCGCAGAATTAAAAGGAATCTCTAGATCACGCACATAAAGGTCAGCATGATTAAAATAATGAGCCTTATTGGTTACACAATTAGTAATCACATCTGTATAAAATATGATGTAAATTTATGACTTCTTTGTCTCTTCAAACTTTGTTATTGCTAATATAATAATGCTGGTTATGACCTAACGAATTCAATTCTATTACTCTTCCTGAACATACGAAAATATATACAAAAAATTACAATGCCACAAGACGAAAGGCAAATACCACCGAATAAAGGTGAAGAGAAAGACCATGATATAAAACAAGGCGGCGAAGATACCGACGAAGAAGTCAGGGTACGCATCTAGTGAACTTGTTTCGAATGCATTCTTTCCGAGATCTATAAATAACACCTTGATTTTTTTTTTTCAAAAGACCGAACGAATCAAGAATTTACGTGTGACTCCGGCGACTCCGTCAGAACAACATGCAGAATTATTACACTTTATTGCAAAAAAAGAATTCAAAGTAACCGAATTGAGAGAGGAATTAAAGAGACACGAGGAAGAATTACGGTTATTGAAAAAACAATGGGAAACTATAGTGTTAAATGAGAGAATGGCTGATGCAGAAAGCATCAGCATTTCACGAAGATCCTCGGTTTCATCGGAAAATGAGGAAGATGAGATTGACAAGTTGATGAATGGATTGGGTAAAGGGATTAATAGTGTCATCGATGGTATTCAAAAAGTGAAAGATAGTGATGCGTAAGTATCCTTCTTCTATGATTACCATCACTATTTGCAGGTTGTGATGGAGAATGGTTCATTGATTTAAGAAATTAATTTATATTGACTTTTCAACCTTACCATTCCTTAGAACACACGAGAAAATAACACAAATTAAAAATGTCGTATCAGACGTGGCAAATTCGACACCGTAAGTTTTTTTACACCCTGAAAGTAATTTTTATTATCTTGTCCGATATCACGTGCTTACATATCCCTCCACTTTCCACTACAAAGTGTTCAGCAAACAAAGCGCAAAACAGCCGACTTTACTTCGCAAGCCTGGTCAAATATCAGTAGGGGATTCACTTCGCTGGTTGAATCTGGAGCGTATGTACCTGTGACTTTCATCCATCCAACGTCATTTTTCAATTGTTCAAACATGCTAATCTCTGATCGCAAATAGCATTAAAGCGGCGAAAAGAAAAACCTTGCAAACTGTACATAATGTGGAAAGATCAATTAATGAAGCAATGTTATCAACAAAAGCCACACGAACTTCATCAACATCATCTCCCAATCCTTCGACAATTTCAAAAGATTCAGTAGGCTCACAGACAAATCAAACACATCAAGAAATTAGTAAAACCCTCACAAAAGATGCCGATACGGCTTCACTCGTTTTGCCCATCTCACCCATCTCGCCCCTTTCTCCCACTTTTACCGATTTTTCTGCCACGGACATTGCCAATTCACCAACAACTTCAATATTCACTTTGCCTCCATCCCCCACCACTCCGATCACTCCAACCTTCGTCACTTTATCTAATACCCTGTCCACACCTCCTACCACTCCCAATTCATCCAATTTTGATGTCGTATCAAATGACAATGCTAGTAATAATTGCAGTAAAGAAGAGTTTCTAAATAACTCACTGGTTTATGTTATCGGTGATGAAGGCGATGGGTAAATTTATGATCAGGCAGTTCACCGCAAAAAAAACTAATCCCAACCTTAGCACATATGATTATTTATTTACATTATTATATTTTGTTTTATACCTCAAAGGAAAAACATGTTTTAATGAACCTTAAGCTGCATAATTCGCTTATTAATGTCAAATATATATATAGCTAACCGTCTATGAAAATCATCTTGCCTAATATTTGATTTTTTTTTTCAAAAAAATATATAATAAAATAGAATAGAATTACAAAATTTGTTTTTAGTGTATATTAACATCATTTTAAAACACCCATTTTTTATTTCAAAAATTTAGATTATAGAAAAAAATCACTTTAGTTAATTAGCAAATTGTTAATTTATAATGGTAAATAAAAAATTT